ACAATTCTTATTACACATATAGAGCATAATTTTTCATATCTCTGGTTGTATACAAAGAATATTCACACCAATTCTTGGACATAATATCTATATTTTTATGTGATGCTGAGGATTGAACCCAGTGCCTCACATGTGCAAGGCAAGTGCTCTACCACTGAGCTATAACCCCATCCCCAAGTGCATTATCTTTACACTGCAGACTTTTTAGAATGATTGTATGGATATGGAAAGGAAACATACTTCACATTTTTTTTAATATTGAAATTTGCTATTTTAAGGAATGGGGTTGGTGCTGGGTTGGATCCTCAGCACCACATAAAAATAGATTAATAAAATAAAGGTATTGTATCCATCTACAGCTACAAAAAATTTTTTTTAAATGACTGCACTGAATTAGATAACTTACCTATTTGATAATTGTTTTCTACCAAAACAAAAACAAACAAAACCTCATAAACACTGACTGAGCAATCCATTCAATCATCAATGATGGAAACTGATTTTGCACATCATTACAGTATCAGCAGATAGTAAAAATTCAGTAAATACTGACTGGATGAGTAAATCTTATTAGTAGCACCTACTTAAGCAGAACATAAATAAGATTGCATGCTTGAGGCTCCTTTTACTTTTCAAATGGGGAGAGGAAGTGCCCTCTTCATTCTTAAGGAGGTTGCAAACTTGGTTGAAGATAGGGCTTAGGTGGCTCACATTTTGGTGATATGTGAACTGAAAAATCATTCAATTTTAGAATCAGACATACTAAAGGAGAAAAAAAAGCAAGCAAAGTATCATGTTACATATATTATATGTATATATACTATATAGTTATTATACACATACACACACATGTATTTATTTTTGCTAAGACTAGAGGAAAGAGATTTGGTGCAAACTTCCTCACTGTGAAACTGTGATACCACTATTGGTTATACTTTCATCTGGAAAATGAGTATGAGTAATGAATCCTTCCCAGAAGCCGCCCCCTCCCCTGCTTTGGGACGTATGAATGAGTAATCTCATAAAATGCTGGTAATATAATGGCCATACTACATATGTGTAATGAAAGTTTAATGTAAATTAAATATCAGACCACTAGGTAAAAAAGAACTTAAACCAAAATTATGCAAAAATGAAAATGTGGCTGGGCGTGGCGGCACGAGCCTGTAATCCCAGAGGCTCTGGAGGCTGAGATAGGAGGATCACAAGTTTGAGGCCAGACTCAGCAAAACCCTGTCTCCAAATAAAAAGGGCTGGAGATGTAGCTTAACGGTAGGGGGCCCCTGGGTTCAATCCCCAGTACCACAAACAAATAAAATAAAATGAAAATGTTCCAGTGCGATGACGGGCCTGTAATCCCAGCTGCTCAGGAGGCCGAGGCAGGAAAATCGGAAATAGTCTAGGCAATTTAGCAAGGCACCGTCTCAAAATAAAAAATAAAAAGCTCTGGGGATGTAATCCGGGGTACAGCGTCCCTGGGGCGGGTCCTAGTAGTCAACTCCCGGTGCCAGGCGGGTCCCGCACAGGCCAGAGGTTGCCCACTTCTAGAGTCTTCCTTGAGCCGGAGGGTCCAGGTCTCCGAAGACCACAACCGCGCCTGGCTCCCGGCCATCACGCCTGGCCTCGGCCGTGCTTCCGACAACCTCGTCCAGCTCTGGCAGTACAGCCCGGATTCTCCGGTCCTAGCTGACACGCCGTCCTA